AATTCTATTATAAATATTGAGGGAGAAAAGTTGTCCCGCGCTAAACAGATTTTGCTATGTTATACGTTTGTAAGACGGAGACAACACGTCATGCGGGTGTGGCGTCCTCTTAATTTATTTATTTATCTATTTTTTATTGATCTTTATAGCGACATGGGCCATTAGCTTTATACATAATTTACATTATACTATTCTTAAAACTATATTTATTCTAATTAAATGTATTTATCTATTTTGGTTGTCCTGAGAAACGACATGATTTTTTCGGGTTGACAGTCGGGTCCGATTGATTCGTCGAAGTTGGTTGATATATCTAGTTTTTCTCTTTCTTCTTCATTTGATCGGCATTCTGTCATCAAGTGTTTTACTRAGAGGTTTACTCCGCATGTGGTGCATTCTGACGGTGGTTGGTTCTTCATGAGGTGTCCATGTGTGAGGTGGGTTGTGTCCGATTCTGAGTCGGTTTATTTCTTAATTTATTATTACAGGTACCTAATATAAAAATATCATAACGGGATGAAGCTTCCCCCCATTAACCATATTATGTATTATTATTTGTTCTTATATTTACCCTTGATTGAAAAATTTGAAAAAAAAAATATTTGTTTGAAAATAGAATATATGACAATATTTAAATATAATAGGTACATCCAAGACTGACAAATCATCTCCGTTCAGAATCGTTTTTCTTATACAATGATACCTATCATTGCATTCAAATCTAACCTACCCTAGTCAGAGGTCCACCCCACCCCCTAATGTACCTACTGCAGCAGAGCGGTTAGGTTAGGTTAGGTTATAGTTAATGATTGATTAAAGTATTGTTTATAAAACAAAATAAATAGAAAATAAGTTATCAAKACAAAATAATTGGAATATGAAGTCGTAGGGGTTGATCTATTTTATATTAAAATTTAAAAAATAAATAACATTGAATATTACCCCTAATAAAAATTTTAGTAAATACAACTTAGGGGATTAGAAGCGGTGATTTTCTGTTTTTGTTTAACACGCGTACAACGTGGGATTATAGATGTGTTCTAATTCCAACGTACCGATTGATATAATGAAGCGATATGAATTCTGAAAACATATTTGAATTTGTCGTCAAGTCTTTTTGACATCAGCTTTCCCACATTTTTTATTTAATCTTCTCCAAAAACTACAATATGTTAATTGTTTAATCACTCTTTTTAATGTATCGTTTTTAGGATTTTGAAGGATAATATCAAAAATTGGGAAAGTCGATCTAAAGAAGAGTTGACAACAAACTCAAATCTGTCTACTGATTTCTWATCGTTTTATTAAATTTTATTATATCAATCGGTACATAGGAAATGGAAAATGTGTATAATCCTATGTTATACACTTGTACAGTAAGTTGTACGTGTGTTAGACAAATACAGAAAATCGCCGCTTCCAATCACCTTAATGTAACTGATATCACTGATTATAAATACTAATTATAATCAATACTGATATTCTCACAGATGAATTTATTATAATAAACATTTTTAATTTATTTATTGTCTATGAATTTATAAAAATAAATACATATATATTTTAATTTATATAAATTTAATCAAATTTCTTGTGGTATCAATCATGAACTAAGATATACCTTAGTTATATCTTAGTTCATGATTTCATATTATATTCTGTGATATCACTACGCCGGTGTTATCTTCATAATTTATAAAATAATCATAATATAACCTAATAAAATATATATATTATTATTTTAAGTTGTAAGTTTATAACTTATAATGATTATACCTAAGTGTAATATTCAAATTTTTAAATAATATGTTCCTTGTGTGATATGAAGCATTTGCTTGATGTCTGTTTATGGATTGATGTAAATAATTAGCAAAATGTTATTAAATTTCACATTGAATATATCAATTTTTATTTAAAACTTAATTTAACATAAAAAATAAGTTCTTACAATTGCAAGTTGGAAATTCCACTGCAAAAAAATTACAATGTATTTATTATTAATATTTCAGTATATGTGTTACTCCAATAATGTATAATATTATAATTTATTGCAAGAATTTATTATTATTAATTTCAGATGATTATGTTCAACCGTTTTTTAAGACAATTAATTAACATAAAGCCTTTAAGATTAAATTATAATCAGCAATGTTGTAGCAATGTAAGATGTGTGTCTACAGTTAAAGATTTTCGGAAAAAGACAGAAACATTTTYGTTTAATGCTGAGCAGAATAATGATGCTGACTCTGATATTTTTGGAACATTAACTGATAGAATTGAAATTAATGAAAAATTGGATTCTTTACCTCCGGAAGATGATGATAAAATAGAATATGATAAAGATGAACAACACAAAAGATTACATATTACTGAGTACCACAAAATTATTCAAGAACTCATTAAACAACATAAAGTATAATACCTACTAAAAATCTAATATTTATTTTCTCCATCTTCAATTTATCCAAATATCTTTAGATTGCAGATGCGATAGATGTACTTGAAACAAGGATGTTAAAAGATGAAAGAGCCAAACCAGATTATTATGTATATAATCTTTTAATCGGTACTTGTGGTAAAGTTGGTTATGTTCAAAAAGCTTTTCATTTATTTAACCAGGTTTGTTTTATCTATAATTACACTAAATAGGCCTTTATATGATTGATATTATTGATGTCGATAAATATTAAAATGGTTTTGACTCTTTCAATATAAGCAATAAACAGTCAATAATATTTAAGCCTTCTAAAACTACTCAATATTRATACATTTTTTCTTTTATAATAATTAGATGAAAAAAAGTGGCATTAAGACTACACCGGCTACATATACTTGTTTATTTAATGCGTGTGCCAATTCACCATATAAAGATGATGCGTTAAAGAGAGCTAAAAAATTACATAATTTGATGAGTTTAAAATCAATTGAACCTAACATTTTTAACTACCATGCAATGATCAAAGGTATTTTAAACTAAATATTCATAAGAAATAAAAATTAGTTTAAGATTTTTACTAAAATGCTTACATTGAAATTAAACTGAAATTTTTCAAACTGCTAAAAATGTTTTGTATTTATTATTCATATTTATTTTTAGCCTTTGGAAGAACAGGAGATTTATTAACTGCATTTTCTTTGGTTGATGAAATGTTGACAAAAAAATATAAATTAAAAGATGAAACATTTAATTTTCTCTTACAAGCATGCATATCAGATAAAGAAGCTGGTTTTCGTCATGCCTTACTTGTAAGTTTGAATAATTGTATGCATCACCWTAATATTTTAAGTAACTATTGTAATGTCAAGTTGACATAAGTTAATATCTATACACATTTTARTGGAGTCATGGTAACTTAAAATTCATAAAATTTAGATCTTATAAAATATTTAATCAGTTTTTTAAAATGTCTTATGATCCTTCAAAAAGCCGCTCTGTATACAGTTGACTTCCTCCAACTCCTGGTCCATGGTTCACTTTACATTGGTGTAAAAAGTGACTAGTCGCCAAAAATTAAATATCCATGTATCTCTAGTTCAAAAAATTACTTAGTTTCACCATGTAACTTATTAACTTCAACAAGGTTACTAAATAATTAAATACTTAAGATGTTTCATCCTCTTAGTATGGTTTAGGTTCTAAATGATATTGGAAATCTTTTGAAAATAGCTGCTAYGTCTTTAACCTTAACCATAGGAGGAGAGGCTTACATTTTAACATCAATATGAGAYGAGGCTTCGATCCCACACAACAAAAAACAGTATTATTTTTGGGGTCTATGCCTGCTTAACTCCACTGTGATTTGTACCTATGACTATGATTATTCAATGCTGTCTTAGTCTTGTATCAACATTTCATTCTATCATCTTAATAATATAATATTTAATGTCCCAGAAGTACAGCACTTTTATTATTATATTTTAGAACATCTATAAATTGTATTATTTTTTGTTAATGTAAAATCTATTTATAATTTACATTAAATTAAAGGACAAATTGTACCACATATTTTGGTAATTTTCAGGTGTGGAGAAAAATGATATTAAAACGTGTGCGCCCTTCACTATATACTTACAATCTTTTATTAAAATGCACAAGAGAATGTAGTCTTGGTGATGAGTTTGAAACACGGAAAACTATTGGTCAAATAATTGGTGATCCTCATTTACTAACAACTGAATCTAAACGTGAAGAATTGAGTTCTTCAGAAAAGGATATACCCAATACTTTATTATGTAATGATAATGAAAATAAATTATCTCTTATTGAGGAGAATAGACCAAACCTGTTAGATACTAAACCTAATTTTGGTAACATTGTGGGTATAACCGAAATTAAATCCCCTGAAGACAGGTAAAATATACTCTTTAGTCTTTATATAATTCTTTTCTATTGCAATTAACGCTCAAATTTTTATTTTTTTTGCTTTTAGATTATTATTATTAKGTGGTTGTTCCGGATTTTTAAAAAATATGAAAACCAATGGTATAAAGCCAGAGGTTAAAATATTTACACAACTATTGGAAGTTATACCACCAACATTATCAGCTGAAAATGTGAGTTATGTTAAGAAATCAATTTCTTAATCAGAAATTTATTGAGTTATTTTTAATTTATCAAATGTGTTTATAATTAATTAAAATCTTACATAAAAATAAAACAAAATTATTGCAATATTTTGTTTATTAAGAGTATTTTCTAATTATTATTTTTTTTTTAGCTCTTATTAAAAGAAATTTCTAAAAGTAGAATTAGAGTTGACATTGATTTTTGCAATATTCTAATTAAAAAGCGAAGTCTTAGATTTGATTATGAAGAAGCAAAGGTTATATAAAATTATTCATATATTATACATTTTATAAAAATTACCATAATTTTACTTTTAATTTATAGAATGTATTAAAATTAATCAACTCAGAAAACTTGAGTGTGGATATTGTAACATTTGGTGTTCTGGCGTTGGGGTGTAAAAATAAGAACGAAGCTAAAGACCTCATAAAAATAATAGCTGATCATGGATTTCGGTATGTTTATAAAATACTTATGATATTTTTATTCTTATTTATTTTTCATCTAATTTAAGAGTGAATGCAGAAATTTTGGGCACAATGTTAGCACAAGCATGTTACCATTTCAATTTTGCCTATGTAATTTATGTCATGAACATGATCAATCACGAAGAAATTAAACCCAATAAAAAATTTATGGATCGTTTAAATCGTTTTAATAACACAATTAAAGATTTAATGAAAAAAAGAGTAAGTGTAAGCAGTTATTCAAAATAATCTATTAAGCCTTTAACTATGAATTTAAATATTATGATTGTTTTGTTTTACTGTAAAAATCTAGATAATTTTAACTAACTAATAACTTTAAATGTTTTATTAGCATAATTAATTTCAAAGGGAAAGGAAAAAATCTCAGGAAAAATGTTTAYAAAACTTAATTCATTTTAAATTAAACATAGTATTCAAAATTTTTAAAAGCTATAGCCCAAAATATTAAGTTATAGCGATAATAATTAATTCAATAGTTTTTTATATAATTATATGATATATTTTTCTATTTTGTAAAAATATTCCTGACAAATCATCCTAGTTAGTGGTATATATATAGCCTATTTATATTATTTTTTAATAATATTATTGACTAGATTCAATTATGTATATTTTTTTTATAATTATTTTATTATTTATTATTTTTTTTTAATCTTTTGTATTTATCAGCTATTATATTATTAAATAATTATTATATATTGTCTTTATAAAACAGACTACTTCTTCTGAGACTTTTTTCCTGCCATCCTTTTAAAAATAATAGATGAAATAACTTCAAAATTCGCCAAAACATTTTTAATAAAATCATACATTAAATCTTAAACATATATGTTTCTTTAAAGTTTAAATACTGTGATGGCCTATAAATATCAATTGAAAACGATTTTATCATAATCAGTCACTAACAAAATTATGCATGATGAATTTTTTATTTTTATTTTAACTTGGTGATTATCACAAATAGATCTTAAGTTTAAATAACAACTATTGAATTCATCTTTTATACTTAATTTACTTAAGAGAAAGCTTACCTGCATGTGTTGTCTTTATCTTACACATGCGCAACATAGCAAATTTTACACTCAGCCGATCATATTTAGTTCTGTTAGTTTAAAATTTAAAGTGAATTGACCTCATAAAAAATAAAGGCAACATTATTCTCGAGGGCTTCTCATAGGCTTTTTATTATGTTTTAATTTTAAAACTAGTTATGAGTATTTTAAGATATACAAACAATTTACGATTTTAAAATACAAATAAGTAGCTTTAAAATTGAAATATWATAAAAAGCCTACTAGAATTTCTCAATAATAATGTTACATAGAAATTTTATAAGAGTTCAATTCACTCTAAATTTTAAGTGAACAGAACTAAACATGATCGGCTGAGCGTAAAATTTACTATGTTACGCACTTGTAAAACGAAGACAACACAATATGTGAGTGTAGCGTTCCCTAAACATATATTGCCAATTCAATAATATTAGAATTTTTGATGACATTACAAGCTTAATGAAAACATGAAATATATTAACTTTCAGTATTTTTTTCAGCAAAATAGAGAAAAAGCGGTTCCAGATTTTATTCAAAGTTATTATTTCAAGGAAGGATACAGGAAGTTTCAAAATTTTTATAAAAAATGGTTATTAGAAGTAATTGTTGATGAAGAACTACATCCTTGGGATCAATTTAAAAGTCACAAAAAATAAAATATTGTGATGATTTTGCATTTAAAAATAAATTAATATTATTTAGATATATTTTTCAGTATTTAATTGACATACATTATAATTATCATCATTGATTAATAATATGAAATATTACAATTAATATAATATGGCCTCTTTATTAAAATTTGTATTGATTTAAATGTTACAAAATTTTAAATTATACTAAATATTTTAATTTCAAATAGAATTTGGTATTTGTTCTAGAGGATAATATGTATGTACAACATTGTTTTCATACATTTTGACCACTCTTAGTCCGGAAGGATCTTCTCCYAATGGAGCTCCGAGTGCACAAGTTGTAACCAATTCAAGATTTTTATAAAATCCAGTTGAGTTTTTGTGATAATGGCCAGAAAAAACATGAGTCACACCTAAAAATAATTTATATCAACATTTAACTCGAAAATTTTTGTTCTCAACATTTATGATATTAATTAATCTTTACCAGCTCCACACAGTTTTTCAAGCATTTCATGTCTAAGGTTTTTTCGAATATTGAAATATGAATCTTCCTCATCTAATTTACTTATAAACCATGGTATGTGTTGAAATACAATTATTCTTTGACCTTTGTATTTCTTCAATATTTCATTTAACCATTCTTCTTGTTGTGCTGCAAATTTATCGACATCACTACCATTTTTATAATATTGGGAGTTTAACACTAAAAACAGTACTCCTCCACACCAAAATGAAAAATAATCTTGGCCAAAATTCTCACGGTATCTAAAAATTGTAATTAATTATCTACAAAAATGAAAGATAGAATTTGATGTATTCGTAAAATTAAACTATGTTACTTGTTGATTGAATTTTTATCTGGGATATCACCAATATCATGATTTCCACACAAGCAAACCAGAGATATAGAGGGGTGTACATTTGAGAAAATGTTCTTAAAATCATTTATTTGTAGTTCATTTAACACAGTATCATCTGAAATATGGATGCATTGCTATATAGAAAATATATATAAACCATTAATTAAATAATTATGATATAATCATTAAGCTAAATAAACACAACTAACTACAAGGCATTTCATTTATTAAGTCGCCACACACAACCAAAAATTGAGGTCTTGGGGACAAATTATTAATTTTATCTATTGCAAAAATAGCTTTATCCATTTCTATTTTCCAGTCTTTAGGATCTCGTTTTAGAGGTGGCTTTATGAAACCAAATTGAGGATCAGCCACGATCACAAAGTAAAAATTGTCAGTCCATAATTGATTGTTTTTAACTAAAATTAAAAAACAAATATAAAATTATATAATATATAATAGTAATATAATGCATTGCATAGGTAACCATTAACCATATGTYCATTGTCCATATATAGATATAACCACACAACCGTAACAAGTTTCGGTCGGTAGGTACATGACAATATTTTTTACCTGGAGAATGAACGGTTACATACGTTTAAATTATGTCTCCCAAAAATGTTGTACAACTTTTAATTTACAAATATACTTATATTTATATTTTATACAACATCATTAAATTTATAAAAAATATTTTGATCATTATACTCTAATTACTCACCTGCCTCTACCTATTTAATATTATTATGTTATTTAATTATTATAGCTATAAACATCGAAAATCTTTATTTTCGTCTTAAGATTTTTTTTGGAATTATATATATATATATTCGTTAATTTTATAGTACACAAACATGTTGCAGTGTTAAATTTTGAGTCAATGTGTCTAAACATTCACCGCCTAAGATGCCCAATCGGCAAGCACTTATACCCTAAGTTCCTGCTGCTTATCGGCCAATAAAATTACTTTATCGTTAACACCATCGTCGTAACCTAGGCAGCAGGTCCAAGAGTCCACCTTTCCTTGGAATTTTTAAAAGTTCAATATAAGTTTTTATATATTGAATATAAAAATAATAAGTGACCAATATTGATATAAAAAAAATGTTAGATCCCCGAAATTTTTTCAGTTACTCACGGTCTTCACCATTACAATATAAAAGCACAAAACCATAACGTATTGATACACATGTTGTAACAATGCACCTTACATATAAGATATAACAGATGGTCAAAAGTAGACCGAGTTGGTGCAATGGTGGATGTAAAAAGAATTCCCCACTTCCAGTTATCTAATAATACGTTTGATTTCAGCAAAGAGCTTGGCGTTTTAAAGTAGGTACTGTTTGCATCTCTCAACAGTCAGCCATCGTTTTTTAACCGCAGATTCATATAATTCATTGATACACATAACACATGCAAATCACAAACAACTACATTCATATTCTTTCCTTGCTACCAACAAAGATTCCATTAAACAAATGTTATTATTTATGAAATATGTTATATTTTTCAATTTAGTTTAATCAATTAAAGGTATATTACTTATTAGATACAATACAATGGTCCTGTTATTGACGCTTCAATTCTAATTAATTATTTTTTTAATAACGCTTTATTATGTGTCCATATAGGTAGGTAGGTATATATTAAAATATTACATAAGCATAAACACATACATATATTTAAGCTTACACAGTCTTTGCATTTTCTAAAACAATGGTAAGGTAATATGTTTCAAAAAATGCTTGACTACCTCAAAACGACCATACCTATGTTTTTATATTTCAAATACCTACCTAAATAATAAGTCATACAATTTCAATATTCAGTCTAGAAGTAACTARGTATTGGACAAAATTCAACGAGCAATTTGAAATTGTAAAAAAAGTAAAACATTTATTATTTTTGTTCAGATATTCAGTAAGAGATTTCTAGATTAAGATTTCTTTAAACAATATTGRCACAATTTTGAATAGGAAATTAAAATTTTAAAGTGTCGAGGAAATTTAATCATTAAATGTTTAGGAGTAAAGTGCAAAATAAATATTGAATATCGTGTCATCACGTGGAATGATTATCAATAGTTATTATTTAAAATGTACATATCTATATGAATATCCAAATACCCAAATCTGTATACAATTAACTTGAACTTACATTTATCGTGTCCAATTTTTTCTTCAATCTCGTGCCTATTCCAWTTTACTGTTTCTTTAATATTTTCTGTCATTTTCGCTGTAAAATYAGGTWTAATAATTATTTATTTTATCTGTTTCTTAAATAATTGAAAAATATATAAATTAATTTATTAATAAAATATCCTGAATCGTATATTTATACTTATAACTTATAAGTACCCATAACCCATACCATATATAGTCACAGTGGTGTAAATATCCAATATTTTGAGAAATTTCTTTACAAGCTACTCCCGATTTTATTTTTAATATAGGTAGAAAGTATAGACAATAGTTCATTATTATACTATGCAATATAATTTAATATTTATGTTCAGTAAAAAGTTAAATTTTCATCTGAAGAAAAAAAAATGTGTATAATATMATTTGAGGAACTGAGGGAGCTAAAGACGAACCCATCCATCCTCCCTAATAACTTCGTTATTGCAATTAATAGATACATAAATTTAAAATGCTCGAGATATTTTATATTATATATGACGTAGGTATCTAATTATATAAAAGTAATAATTGCGAAATAAAATTTGCATACATAATATTGCTGATAGATAAGTTATCGAGAGGCTTATTTTTCAAACGCCTTTGTAATATTATGCATATATCAGTAAAAAATAGTATAAAGCATATAATAAAGAGATTAAAGATTATAAAATAGGTATTATACCATTTATACCTAATAAGTATAAAGTTTAATAAGTAATAATCATCTAGTTATAAAGTAGATAATGTTTCCATAATAGAATGTTTAACAACAATTTTATTTTAACAGACGTGATTAACTTTATTTAAAAAAACATCTTTGATATTTACTATTAACAACATTATAACTATMATTGAATACTTGGCTTTACGACTATACGACATTCAGTGGCGTAACTAGGATTTTAATGGTTTGTGGCATAAAATCTTTAGGGGCCCCTTAAATGCTTTAAATAGGTAAACAAAACTACAAAAGATTTAAAGATGACTCTTCACTAGGTGTTTTAAATTAAAAATTAATCCATAGTTATAATATTAAATTAATAAATTGGTTCAAAACATAATTATCTAAGCCCGCCAAGGTCCAAGGAACATATTGGCATATTTATAAAAAYAACTACAATAATTAAAAAAATTAGGTCATTTGACAATAAATAAGTGAATAAGAGAAAAAATAAAATAATTTTTGAAATAGATTATATTAATTTGTTTCTTGATTTTTATCGTATTAACCGATMTATTAATAATCCGTCAATGTTCATTTTTTGACTAACAACTTTTTTTATCGAAGCTAAATCTAAAAAACGTACCTATAAAATAACTATGTAAATGTAAGACGTGCTACTTACTTAATTATGTGAATTTTAGTCTACAWTAAAATGTCGTATAGTCGTAACAGATAAGATAAAGTTTTATTAATKCGTAACCAATATAACTAAATTTGAAATGATTATAATATCAGGTAATACGATTAAACATTAAAATAACTACAAATTCATATCACATAAAACAAGACAATGGGCAATGAATGTTTAGATAGGTACCTATTCAATAAATATTAAACAAATCGTTTTAAAAACATGAAATAAGAAATTAATACAAAAATATTATTATTATTTTAAGTATCTACCTAGATCTTTTTATCTTGTCAACAAAAATTAAATTTTAGGTGCACCGAGACGGCGAGACCTCTCAGCCTAGCTGTGGCATTTACTCACGAACACTCTGTCTTTACACMACTGATACTATTGTGTTGTTGTGATCTACTACTATTAATACTATTTATTAAAATTAATAGTAGTACCTACACTAATACACTTATACATATCATAAACCTAAATACCTTGTACTTTTAATAATAGCATAAAGCATAATACTGTTGAACATCGATACAATAAGCATTAAGAAGTTTGAATGTTTGAGAAACACGATTGCAGTGAAATGGCATGTACCTATACAGATTATACAGATCATAATTGTCTATAATATGTTATTTATTACAATATACCCATCGTTCATCCACGATATGATATGCAAATCAATAATTATTATTAATGAACAATAATCGCCAATTTCTATATGAGAACACTGAAGGAATCCCTAAATAAAAGAACACAAACATAAGAAGAATAACTTTTTAAAAATTTGAAATATATTAATAATTGATTACAAAAATTAAAATATTATGGGGTATCAATCGTATGGAAAAATGTACCTACGACCTACCTATGATAAAATAAAATATATTATAATCCTATAATGTCATTAAGTATTATCATGTAGATATAAGAATGGTGGACGGAGCAGCAAGTTTCGAGACTGCCATTGATCGTGACAGGTGGAGAGGTTTAGTAGAAGTTGCAAAAGGCCTTAATGGGCCTTAATAAAGCAAAAAAAAGTATTATCATAACATTTTGTTAATTGTATAAAAGGGGTAAACTTTATACTTGGATACTCAATAATTAAAAAGAACCTTTTTTGACCTATCAACTCAATGAATAATTTCGTTACAAAACTACAGTAGTTCCTATAACATTAGTATAATATATATTATATTTWATATAATATAAATTGAATTACAAAATAAATATCATTGTTATTCTTCATTCTACTGAAATTATATTATRGGCTTCTTTTTTGTTGCTATAAAGTTTATAGTTTATATAGTTTGATACTCTATGTATAGGGGAATGGATACAACATATGGACCACCTATCAATAAGTTGCATTTTTATTACCCAATTATCGATAAGCCTTTTAACATTTTATTTAATATATATATTGTTTGGCATCTTTATTGAGATACTAGTGGTATAAATGTAWAATACAGAAAGTGAAATAATTTTTTATTACCGTWAATTSCCTGTATAGATCTTTACATACTTTTATGCTATTATTTGAGTAATAATCAATTAAAATATCTTTAAAAATTGTTCTTTTCTTCCTTGGTGTTTTTTATCGATTGCCACACTGAAGTGGTAGTTTTGGTGGAGCGCGAACGTCCTCTACTATTGAAACTTGGTTAATCCCATTTAATATGTAAATATCATAAAATAATTAATTATGGCAATTATTGACACTTAATAGTAATTACCCAGATAATTACTGTAAGAGTTTTAAAATAGGTACCATCCTACCTAGCTATATTAGGTACCAATAAATAAAACACAAGTATTGACGAAATACGATTTGTTTTTAGTATTAGGTTAAATAATATAATATATAAAACCAATCTTTATTTAACTTTGTATCGAGTTTCTAGCTCAACAAAGTAACCAAAAAAGTTTGGACAATACCAATATTACTAATAAGTATGATAAACGTATACTTGAAATGTAACCAAACAAAACAGAATATTATAGTAGCCAGCTAGTATAGGTATTGCAGAAAATAATAAATTAATATTAATACGCTCAACTGCTCAATCTCAAATATATAATATATATGTATTACTGTATTAGTATTATAGTGTATACAATATTCATTAATATCATTATATAAATTATAATTGCTAATTATAATAAATGGAAACATAACAATTAACAGTTACATTATAACTTCTCATGGTGGTAAATAAATAAAAGTTTCTTCAAATCAAAAATTGTGGCTACACACGATCATCAGTCGACAGTTTTAACTGAACAAACGAACAGTCTCAACTGTCAGTCAGAACTGTATGTAGATTAAAAAATGAAAACTGACAGTTTTTTATTATCAGTTGAAACTGATTGAATATTGTGGTCACATATTTTTCAAACTGAACTGACCGTAMTGTTCAGTTTAAACTGTGCGTGTGTAGGTCAATCGCATCAGTTATCAGTTATTATTTATTATCAAATTATTTAAATTATTTTAAAAAAGTGATCAATGACCAGTAATCTGTGATACATTCATGAAAAATTTCACAAAAACAGTGGTTGATTGAATTTATAGAAATACGATATATAAAAAGGCGGGTAAGTCGTGGATGTCGCTCTGCTGTACAGTAGGTTACAAGTGGGTTACTGTAATGGATGGAATTAAATTTGAATCCAATGATATTATATCATT